CTGTGTCTGCAAAGGGGATGGTGGAAAAACGTCCGGGAGCAGGACTGGTGAGGAGGTGGGTGGCTCGGAGGAGCCACTGGAGCCCCAGGATGCTGCAAGCGCCGGCCAAGCGAGGAAGTGGTGAACCCAGGAGTGGCCTCTGGTGAAACTGTGCTGAGACCCAAGGGGCTGGCGTTTCCTTTCGCCCTCCTGTGTCTCACAGAATGATTTCCTGAGGATCGCGAGCGGTGCAGTTGGGCTCCGGCCTCGGTGGTGGTGGGTGCTGCTGCAGGGGCTCTGCTCTGCCCGTACTCTCCTGGTGCTCCGCGGCAGGACGTGGCCGGAGGAAGCGTTGGCAGCCAGAGCTTGGCTGGGTTGTGTGTTAGGCTGGAGGGACAATCCCTGGGACCTATTGGTGTGGGAGCCTGTGCAGCCGCCCTGTTCTGTCGGCTCTGGCACCCCTCAGCTGCTTGCCCCGCTCCCGCCTCCCGTTTCGGCAGAAGACATGAGGTGCTTGATACCAGCTGGGGAGGGTAAAGGGCTGATCTGTACCCGCTGCCCAGGCTCCGCTCGAGGTGGGCCTCCTGTGCTCCAGAAACCACTTTCTGTAGCGTTTCCAGCAGCAGAACTGAAATTCCTCATGGAAGAGGCAGGGAGAGCCTGCCCAAGGTCTGTGCAGCCAGCCCGGGAGCAGCATCAAATAATTGAATGGACTCTTGAGTATTACAGCACAGTCCTTTCCCCGCGGGGTTAATTAACCTCATATAAGGCTTTTGGGGTGTGTTGGCTCCTCAGTGCAGCTGAAGACCTGTTGATGGGCGAGCAGGAAACTTTCTCCAGGCTTGCTCTGAAGATGCTGACCTTGGGTCAGGTGTGACCTGCAGCACTGGCTTGCGGTGACTGGGCACTTGGGCAGCCCAAAAGCTGTAGCGGAGGCCAAAATTACCTCCCCTTTGAAGCAGAGGATGGCTTCTGAGATGGGGCAGCCTCAGCTCCCGTGTCCGGCCTTGCAGCTGGTCAGGGTGTTTGAATCTTCCCCGGAGCTCGTGTGCCCGCGAGGAGCCTCGCTTTTGCACGTGGGGTGGTGAAGCAGTTCTGTACAATGGCTTCATTCCCCGCAAATGACTAAATGGGCCTCAAACGGCAGCGAGTTGCCTGTAATGACATGATGTTTTGCTAATGGGCTTGTGGTTTATTCGGTCCTCGTGCTTGACAAGAGCGGGGAGCCCTCGGGACCTCCCAGCGCTGGGGTTAGGCGGGGGAGAGTTGGCAGTTGTGTCTGGGCTGGGAGCTGAGAAGCACCCGCTGCCCGGGTCTCCCGACTGGTCAGGGGGTTTACTGGTCACTTCTCATGCAACTCCACCACGCTAACGAGGCGGTATTTTAACGAAGGTTACTTCAAGGTGCCTGATGCAGTGACTCTTGTGGTTCAGGGACGACTTGGCTGCTTCCAGTTCCACGAGTCCCCTCCTGCTGGCGAGGGCTGGATTATTTGAACGATGCTTTTTGCTCCTGGTGGGGTGCGGGGCAGGCGTGCTTGGTGCTGGCGTCCCTCCTGAGGCTGTGTGTTGATGGGACGGTCCCTGCTGGCCCTGGGACGCAGTTTAGCTAAGCTGGGCTTGCTGGGAAGTGAATGTTTGGCCTTAGCAGGTGCTGCTTCTCTTTTCCTCTCCTCCCAGTTGCCCTGGTGCCTGAGTTTGGAGATGTGTAGCGCAGTGACTTGATTTTCTGCCATGGTCTTTGCTAGGCTTAATGCCACGCTAGCGAATGCCCTCTGCTACTTCACACCCGTCTTCACTGGTTGGCTGGGGAGGGAAAAAAAGTTTTCCTTGGTTCTGCTAAGAGCTGGAGGTTGTTGCCTCCCAACGTGTGGCTCCCATTAATACAGGGTGGATCTGGCATCCACCGTGAGTCGCTGCTGCAGTTGCACATGGCTGACAAGGTGGGCTCAGAGCAACTTCTGGGTTAGTTCATGGTTCTGCTTGCTGTCGAGCTCTTGTTCCTGACTTACAAGTCTCTCTGCAGGCTAGTGGTGAAGGCTGCTCCCTTGGTCTGCGGTGAGTGCTGTCTCGTCTGGCTTTTAAACATCTGCAAGAAGCAGAATTCCTGGTGTTGGGAGTTGCTGCCCAAGCTGCCCATCATGCTGCTGGTCCTGGAGGCAGCGCGGTGCAGCTTTGCCTCCTGCCTGCAGCAGCAGTTAGGAAGGAAACCAGCCCTATTATCTAAAATCAATAGTTGGGCTCTGCTGAGCTGCAAGAGGCTAAGAAACTAAACGTGGAGATACCAATGTGCAGCTTCTCACCCAGGGCCTGGGTGTTGATATTTAAAGGTTGTATTGCTGAAACTGCTCTTTTTTTGGAAGCGATTTGTGCTGCAGAGGTAATTGGAGGGAAAGGGGACAGGGTTAGGCACCGGTTCCGCAGGCGGATGGGTGCGGGCATACCTGAGCTGCGACCGGCATCTGCTGAAGATCGCTTGCCAGGTTGGTACCCAAATCTTGCAAGTTAAGCTGTATTGATGACCTTGAGTTTTTTGACACGTCTGTGTGTTGTTGCATGCATAAAGTAGGATGCAGCCAGCCTGAGCGGCCGGGTAAGACTTGCCGTAGTGTTAACAGGACGGTGCCTTGGGCTGAGTAAAGGCAGCACTGTGGGAAGTGCCGGCCGCGAAGGCAGCAGCCACAACTATTGCAGAACTGGTGGGGAACTGACCCTAAAAACCCTTACTTGCTGGCCCTCGAGGGGTTTTCCAGTTTTGTGTGTGCACGAATCCGAGCGGAATCTGTCCACGGCGTTCTGGAACGGCGATGTCCACCTTTGGCTTCCTCCAGCTCTGCAGGGCTGTGCTGATCCGATGCAGCAGCGTTCAGGTACTGGTGACACGTAATTCCTTCTCCGGGGGTTTCAGCATTGTTTGGAGATGGCTGCAGAACCTGAGGGCAGGAGGAGGAAGTGTGGATGTATGTTGTTTTGGTGGAGACAGAGTTGGGAAGCGGAGAATTCAGTCCATGTGAATCGTTTCTCACTCGCCCTGCTGCTGATGTGAGCTGGCTAGAAATGAGAAATCTCAGAAATTGATGGCTGTAAAATGTTGGCATAAAACGTAGCTGTTTTGGTAACAGCAAAATGCCAGCAATACTCCTTTCCGTCTGGCTTAGTGGGTGGGAACAGAGCTGTTACTATATTATAAGGTTAGCTGATATTAGTCCAGAAGTGTAATTTTGTGTGTGCTGATAATTGGTGAATTCTTCTCCTTTGGGGAAGAAAACCCAACCCTCAAATAGGTGTGAGAGGCTTAAAATGAAAACATTTCCAAACGTTTTAATGGGATTTTACGTATCAGGATGATGAATGTTCTTGGTATTTTTATTTGCAGACTTACAGTATTAAATGTTTATTCGCAGCTGTGTGACCCAGTGACGTGTCTGGACACAAACAAGAGAAGCATTTGGTCTTCCTTGTGAAAAGATGAGGGTGCACCCATCTGCTCTGCACTCCCAGGGCTCTTCAGTGCAATATGAGACCGGAGCTCGGGTTTCTTCTCCCTGCGGGGCGGCTGAGTTGCATCTGCTCGGTGCAGTCCTTCCTGAGGGGAGGCAGTCCTTGCTCAGAGCTGGTTTTAGCTGAAGCTTTGCCTAGGCTTTGCGGGAGGAGCTGGGGTCACAAGACAGGCTTAAGGTTCAGGGTCAGCCGCTTGCTGGGAGGAGGTTGGAGGGTGAGGAAGACATCCGAGAGGAACAGCGTCAGCCCTGCGACAACCTGCTTGCAGTGCAAGGGGGATGTTCTTCTGCGTGGTGAGTAGAGCTGGTCTCTGAGCTCCTCTAGATCTTGGTGGTGCAGTCCCTTGCCTGGATGCAATGGGACCAGTTTCTCTGGCCAGCACGATGAAGTCGCACTATTTAACTCGGAGGAACTTTGTCTGACCCAGTACAGACCTGCAGACTGATGGGGACTGCCCAGTGCCGGAGTGGGCGTTGCACGATGTACTTTGGGTGCTGGAAAGGCCTTTGTCAAAGCTGCGGCACACGAGCTGAGCTTTGTTCTTGTGCTCCCCTCTTAGGTGGAAGCGAGTTTCTGGCACCAGGCTGCCAGGGATGTGTTTCTCTTCTCACCTCAACCACAGATTCGAGTCCCAGGGCTGCCGTATGCTGTGCCTCAGTTTACCAGCGTGTTCTCTGCCTAGATCTGGATAAAGCCCTTTAGCGTTGCAGTAGGGACGGTGCTGGAAGGAGCGGTTTTGTGCGGGGAGAGCCCACGGCTGGCTACAGCGTTGTTATAAAACTGCTAGTTTGGAAAGCAAGCTTCGTGGGAATAGCTGGTATTCCTGGGTCCTCATCAGAAGTGTGTTTTTTAGCTGTTTCCATCCATCTTGGTGGCTCCAGGTTTAGCTTGCCTACCCTTCACCTGCATTTTGAAACCCTTTGGGGAGGTGGTGTCCTCCGCACGCAGCACGAGGGCATTCGACGCGCTCGCTCTAGGCACAACCCCTAATTGTGCAGGGCCCCAACCTGTTTGTCGAAGGCATTTGGCAATGCCTGATCCGGAGAAATAGTGTGACGTCTGTTGTGAAACAGCTTCTTGGCTCTGGTTACCATACCTGCTTGGGGTTTTTCTTTCCAAAGACTTTATTAATTACCTAGTTAGAGATTTGCTTAGTAGCAGGATGGAGACCTAGCTTTACAGGTTGACTGCCCTACTTAAGCCAAAGCACTGCTCTAGGAGTCGAATAAACGTGCAGCATTGAGCTGTCTCGAGCTTCTGTAAAGAATGTGAAGGCTCTCCTGGTTTGAGAGGAACAAGTGGTACTTTCTTCTGGTGGGATGCACCAGGTCTCCCCATCTCTGCTAACGATGTTTTTCTTATTTCCAATAGGAAACACAGACTAACAAGAACTCAAAGTGCCTTTTCCCCGGTTGTGTTCAGCCCCCTCTTCACAGGTAAGGATTTGAAAGATTTACAGCGCGGCGTTTCATTTTGCTATGGAAGGAGCAGTGTGTGCTTAACGATAGACGCTGAATGTTGCTTCCACGTACAAGCTGGGATCTCTGAAGAGTCCCTGTGTTCTGCTTGGCCTCAAACCCTGAACAAGAGGAGCTGTAGAGAACATGGCTATTGCACATCGGTATTTTGCAATTCCTCCTGTTGTAACGCAAGTTTGAGTTGTGCTCTTGGAGGTGAAGATCCTTCCTCCAGGCAGGGCTGTTTGCATCCAAGTGGTTTGGAAAATCCCCTGTAGATCGAGTGCAGCTCGGTGCTCCCCTCCTGTTTTTTGCAAGGAGGTAAGACCAAGCCCTGCTTCCCACCTGGACCATACAGCAACGTCAGCAGCTCTGCTGCATGACATCTATGGGAATTGAAACCTCTTTTGTGGAGCACTACCAACTTCTTCTGCATGTTCCCCCCCTCCCCACGTCCTGCTGGTTTCTGACCTTCCCTTTTCTTCTGGTGGGGGGAAGTTTGCCAGTTTATAAATGGTGTGAGGGGGAAGTCCTGCTCCGCTGGCGGCTGAAAGCTGCAGCACTGAAAAGCTCCTAGTCATGGTCACGCACCTCTTGTGGTGTGGGCTCATAGTCAAAACAGTCCTTGCCACAGGGCTTGGGATTTCCTTGGGAGAATCCCATCTCAAGACCTGCGTGAGTAGGAATCTGAGGTCCCAAGCGAGTATTTATCAGCGGTGCGGGGTTTTACGTGGCTTGTTATGAAGGTTAGATTCAAAATAAATTGATGTTGAGGGTCTCATTGCAGGGCAAAGGAATCAAAATATGATCGTGTGGCGATAGCTGCGTTGGGAAAAGCCGGCGAGTAGCGCTGAAAGCCTCCTCTTGCTGCTGGCGTTTGATAGCAGAGAGTGGCTGAGGAGCTCGGTGCAGGAGCTGGTGTGGGGTTTGTGTTCCTGAGTAGAGCGAAGCCCTCTTTGGAGGGCAGTGGTGAAGTCTTACTGAGAACTGGTTTAAATTTCAGCGCAGTGACCTTCAAGGCAGAGCATTTGTTTGACTTGCCTGGAACTAGCAACTGGAAGCTGCTGGTGGGCTCCTGTGGTTTGTAGCTCCTGCAGAAGTGGAGTCACTCGGGGGTAATTCAGCTGTGACGCTTCTCGTTCTCTTCTCCATTCCCACGTGCCTTCGGCCGATGTCCTGACCGTGGGGCAGCACGCAGAGGACGTGCTCCTTGCGTGACGCCACCGGCTGTAAGCGTCATGTGCGTTTAGCAAATCAAGACTGGTGAAAGCAAAAACTGCTTCTGCTGCTTTGCCAGCTGTTGCTAGGGGAAGCTGTGAGTATAAAATCTGTAATTCTGCGTGCTGGTGTTTGGGGTACGTGGATGTGTGTGCAGAGCTGCTTTTCTTCAAAAGAAACTACAGAGGAGAACCTGGAGTTGACAAGTTTTTGCTTTGAACTTGGGAAATTGATGTGATTAATTGTTAGTTTATGCTATTAACTGTTTTGAAAATTTTTGCCAGTTGGTGAAATACTGGCAGCGCCCTCGTAGGAGCTTTTCCTTTGCAGAAGATTGTTGAAGCATCCCCAAAGCGAATGCCTGGATTTTAATTGCTTTGTTGTTGACTTCTCCAGTCCTACGCAGCTGAGGACTTGGTTTCTTTAATGGCTGCTCTGCAGAGGATTTTCTGAGACTGGCACCACCAAAGTGGGACGGAATTCAAATGTCTGGCCCAACTTGCATGGTTTTCTTGGTGATTTGCTTTCAGGTTAGTATGTGGGGCGAGCGAAGGTGTTTGGGAAGGCTGTCCTCACCTTTCCTGACCTCTCCTCGGGCACCTTTCGGAAGCGCTGGCTCCGTAAGTGCGCCGCAGCCTGCCATTGCAGCTCCTGCTGCATTGGGAAGGCTTCGCAAGCTGAGTTACTGCAACCCCTCCTAGTCTGGTTGTCTTTTGGTTTTGTTTGCGACGGGACGAATGCAGTCCAACCTACAGGGCCACTTCATTTTCAGGGTGTGGAAACGAAAGAGTGGCTGTGTGCATGCGTGTACGCTCACACCCATAAGTCCCCCAGGGAGGAGGTACCTCGGATAATAACCAACCCTAAGCACTCCTCTTAACATGGCTTATGAATAGATAGGACTTAGAAAAGCAGAAGGAAGCTGAGTCAATATTGTCCTGTGTAATGCCTGGTAAATACATTGTCAGGTACCTACCCAGAGGTGAGTGATGCTGTGGACAGTATCTGGAGCAGAAGTGGAGTTCCCCTGCCCACAGGAATTGAAATCCAAGGCAGCCAGATTTCGTTGTCCTTGAGACCATGGTTCAGGTGTTCAGGATGATTTGGTTTATGTTGGTGGTTCATCAGAGCCTGGTTAGACTGATTTGATTTTTTTTTTAATTGGTAAAAAAAAAAAAGCCTTGGCTGTGGTAACACCACTTGAGGTCTCTCTTTGGGATTTAGGTGCTTTCCTTTTAGCTCTGTATCAGTCTGATACTGAGGCTGATGCTTTGACATCAGTTTGATGGCTTCATTTCCTTCCCACGATTTTAGACTAAGCTTTTCTGGTTTTAAGTTAGACATCTTAGTTTGTGTCATTATTTTCTCTGAGCAGTATCCTGGATCCAGAGCCTTTAGGCTTTAGTGAATTCCAACTATTTAATATAAAACCCTGTCCAGCTCCCTTATATTAATTTTAAGAGCTGGTACCCTCATGGCCTTTAGGGTAAAAGGTATTTCTGTGTGATCATCTAAGGCTTTGGTAGGCAAACTCAGACTGGCGTGAACAGGAGCGTTATCGCAGAGTCCGGCGCCAGCGGGTGCCGCGCAGACCTGTGAAACCATTTCCCAGGACTGTACGAAGTGCCAGCGCTGTGCAGCGTTGAGCTCTGCTTGATATGTGAACTCGGTGCTGAAGAGGTCTCGCGGTGCCTTCCTCATCGCGTCCTCCGGGTGCTGGACTCAGGCGGGGTTCAGGCACGCGTACCAGTGTCGTTCCCTTCCGCCTGACCTTCGGGCTGCGGTAGCAGACCTGATCAATGTCTCAAAAGTGGTGCAGCAGGGAAACTCGATTTGAAAACAGCTAATGAGATGATCTTCCAAACCTTGCAGAGGTTACTGCCCCTTCCTCTCTCCCCCTGCCTCCCTGTGCTCAGCCTCTGCATGCCCCAGGGAAGGTGCAATACTAACAGTCTTGCTCCACCAACCTTCAGGTGAAACAGTGTCACTAGTGGACGTGGACATCTCTCAGCGAGGACTGACCTCCCCTCACCCTCCGACTCCACCACCGCCACCACGAAGAAGCCTCAGCCTGCTAGGTACTGTCCTGGAGAGCATCCTTTGCCGCGCGTCCCTGCGGGAGCATAGGAGCTGCCCGTCCGCCCTTGCGGGGACAGAGAAGGAATGTCCCAAGGGTCCCCGGCAGCGGGCTCGCTGCCCGCTCGTCTGACCCCGTAGCATGCCCGCTCGCCCTTCCCCGGCAGAGGATTTCTTGCTGTTCCTTGAAGGCTTCAGTGCTTCTCTTAAATCAGCCAGGAGGGGAGGGCGGTGGTGGAGCAGTGTGAGGTGGGACGTAAGGTCCTGGTTTCATAGTGTTTCTGCTGCTTTTGGAAGCTTCTCCCCTTACTACCCATCGCTCAGCGAGGCCAGTTCCCTTCTGTGCTCTCTGGTTGGTGGAAGTGGAGGCTCCCCGAGAGGCTGGTGCACCAGGAGCCTGGCTTAATTGCTCCTCTGGAGGAGGCCCCTCTGAGCAGGAGCAGCTTAGGACAGGTAAAGTCAGCCTTAGCGGGCAGCACCTTAAACTGCATACCCCGTGTGCTGGGGCAGCGTCGGGGCTGTGAAATCTCCTGTAAACGCCTGTCTTGTGCCGCAAGCTGCGTGTGAGGAGCTAGCCGGGCTGGAACACGGGCTCCTTCGCTCCGGGAGGGCGTGCGAGTGTGCGCGAGGCTCCGAGCTGGTGTGAAGTGGCAGCAGCCACCCGCGCTCAGAAGCACGAGGAAGATGGT